GTCTCTCTCATTTGTAATCTCTTTACCGGTTTTTTGGGGTCTTTTTGTCCTCGCGTGGGTTTGTGACTATGCTACTGTGACGGTGTCACCAAAGTATGGCGAATCGGTGGAGCGTTTGTATGGAGGGGTACCCGTAATTCAACGCTCCACTCAGTAGAGCTAGCACTGAACATGCAGTTACATTTTTCAGGACTTAGACATTTTTACTGTGATAAATCTTAGTCTGGTACCGCTGCAACATTGTCATTTTGACTTTGTATTCACGAGACGGAATCTGACCATTTTACAATTTCTGACTTTATTTCCCTTTAATTAAAAAAAAATCCTCCAGAGCCAAGAATCAGAAAAAAGAAATGGGGGCAAGATTACCATATGCGAAGTTCACTAATTTTCCTCTGTATTGACTAACAAGCCCCCAGATAGCAATTTCATGTCATCAAAGTCAATTTGAGCAGCGAGAAAATACAAGCATTTTCTTAGAAAACACTTAGAATTTTTCAGTCCACTCTCATAGGGTTTGTACACAGAGTGTTGAGTGAACTTCGTATATGGAAATCTTTCCGAAATGGGTAGTTAAAGTCAGAGTTCTAGTTGATTTAAAATAATTAAAGGATATTCTTAATTTTTTGGGATGAACAAAAATTGAAAATGTTGAGAGCTGGGAATCGAACCCTGCTGTGCTGGGGATCTCTCACTCATAAGATTCACATGCTATCCACTAGGCCACAGGTCTTGCACATGCACAAACAATGTTGGTAATTCAATACATTTTCTAATGTATGCCTACTTGTATACGCGTCAAAAGGGGACGCTGTATTATCTAGCTGGCTAAATATCGTTTACTGAAAGAAAACCAACTAAATCTAGCCTGCAAAATAATTATACACTTCCTTCAAATGTCTATTCTATTTGCCTGCATGTCTCTTGAATGTTCAGTACTGAATGGTAGCTCTCACAAGTCTGCCATTGAAAACTGATAAGTTGCACTCTTGTTATTTACAGGTGGTTATCATGACAGTCAGACTCAGAGCCAATGAAGTGGATGCTGTCAAGAATGCTTATGTGAACCACACAAAGCTGATCTTCAACTGAAGGAATGCCCAACTTGCAAAGTCCTTGCCATTCGGTTTGTCATGGTTAAACTCTGTTCATTGAACTAATATGCTCTAGAACAAAGCTCCAGTAAAGTCTATAGGGCCAACTTCTTAGGGCATGGAAATAATCTTATGAGCTATGTAGTTAAACTGAAATATGAAATGAGTGATTTGATTCCAAATACATTAACAGATGGACTAAATCTTTGTGATGTTAAGACCTCGAGCACGTAGATGCTTGGAAATTAAGTCCAATTTTAAAATAACTTGAAAATAAGTTGCACAATAAACCTAACCTAAACATTAGGTCAGTGCTAATAAAAGTAAATTTAAACTTCAAATACGTTTAACAATTCACTTTAATAAATGAAATCAATATTTGTTTAGACTTAAGAATATTCAGTGCCTAAACTAAGTTTTCCACTTGATTTAATGAAACTAGAAAGCATCAGCAGAACCGTAAATGTAACAAAACCCAAGGACAAAGCTCATACAAGTCAAATTTAGCTTTAGATGTGAGGCAGCTCACTTGGGATGGCAATCCAGTTTTGACTACAATGTGGTAGCATTCAAGTATGCCAAAGTCATTTTTGTTTCCACTGTTCTGTGTAAAACTGTGGACCCTTGCAGCATTTGTTAGGTCATTCAATCATCTGCATGCATCCATTGACAGACAGTCATGATCATATTAACCACTGTCACTGACGACATAAACCACCTAATTAACCACTAACCAGACCTGTCCAAAATGTTGCAAGGACTGGGCAAATATTCCACGCTTCTTGGGAACTTGAGTTCACTTGCGCATTTTCTTCTTAGTTTTTCAAAGCTGGATTGCCAGTAAAAGCAGTTCTTAGCATTTACACAATTTATTGAAAAGCAAACATTCGAGTCAACTTTTACATTTGGCTAAAATAATGAGCACAAACAAGAAAGGAAATGGAAATGCTTTAAACAAATTCTTTCAGAGCATAATCTAAAAAAAGGACATTTAAAAACCAATCAATGTTAAAAATTGATAAAATTCTTCAATGAAATTAAATGCTCTGAAAATTGTATAAATGATAAATAGCCAAACAATAAAGGATGTGTTTGATGTAAAAATGCAATTTAAAAACTACATTCATAAAAAGAAATATTTGAAAGGATTAGTTAGTATAAGGCATAAACCTGAAAGAATTTTATTTCAAAACTGTAATTACAAACAAGGTAACTCACATTTCTTGTTTGCCATAACCACATGATTTAAAAATTGAGGTATAGGACATTTACTCAAGTTGGCCCTTGACATACTTGGGACAATGTTCAGTACGGAGCAGTAACATGTGAGAGTCATTCTGGGGAAACTCTGAAAATCACCTCCAATTATAAGTTGCCCCTGGATGAACTTTGGACATTAACAGTACAGGCAATACTGCTGCACATCTGAACAGTTTGGAACAAAGGATGGACATGAACGTTTGGTTGAGTATTGCATTTCTCCAGTGCGGACTCGTTGCAAACTGTAACATGACTTGATACAATCGTCTTGGAAGCACAACTGAAGAACATGCCTACCTTGAACTCCATGCAATATTGGAAGTTTGTTTGGACACTTGTTTGGAAGGACGATGCGTGTTTGGAAGGACGATGCTTGTTTGGAAGGACGATGCTTGTTTGGAAGGACGATGCTTGTTTGGAAGGACGATGCTTGTTTGGAAGGACGATGCTTGTTTGGAAGGACGATGTGTGTTTGGGAAGGACGATGCTTGTTTTGGAAGGACGATGCTTGTTTTGGAAGGACGTTGCGTGTTTGGAAGGACGATGCTTGTTTTGGAAGGACGATGCGTGTTTGGAAGGACGATGCTTGTTTGGAAGGACGATGCTTGTTTGGAAGGACGATGCTTGTTTGGAAGGACGATGCTTGTTTGGAAGGACGATGCTTGTTTGGAAGGACGATGCGTGTTCGGAAGGACGATGCGTGTTTGGAAGGACGATACGTGTTTGGAAGGACGATGCGTGTTTGGAAGGACGATATGTGTTTGGAAGGACGATGCGTGTTTGGAAGGATGATGCGTGTTTGGAAGGACGATGCTTGTATGGAAGGACGATTCTTGTTTGGAAGGACGATGCGTGTTTGGAAGGACGATGCTTGTTTGGAAGGACCAACTGGAACCTTGAGGAACACTGCCTGGTGTGGGAGATGTGGAATTCTGGTGACTTTCTGATGTTGGGACAAGTGGAATGATTCTGGTGACTTTCTGGTGACTTTCTGATGTTGGGAGAAGTGGAATTCGCCATCCTCGCTACCTGTGGATGGCTGTATCACTCGGAAACCTCAGAGGTAACCCCCCCACCCCCCCCCTCCCCAAAAAAATAATCATTGTTAATTGCCAGATATTTAAAAAGGATTTTGCTGATGCTATAGCAATGCATCATTTAACTAGGTTTGGGTTTGTTTCACAAATTAACACATGTTATGGGGCATGACACTATTTGTCATTCTAAAAACAGATTGGTTAAATAACCAATGTTGGTTAAAATGTATCCAACCAACCCGATTAGTTCAACACATAGTAAACAACTGTTGGTTAATTCAACCAATGATTGGTTATGTTAACCAATCTGTATTTAGAGTGTAACAAGGCAGATATAATGAATCTGGTATTTTATAAATTTCAGCTTTTTATTATTTGACCAAAGGCAGTACAAGGAAAATACTTCAAATTAAATGAACATTAATTTATTTGCATTGATTTTCTGCAGACGTGAACATGCACAAGAGACCCCCGGATTGTGAAAGTGTACAGTTTGCAAGTGGAGTCATTCGATAGATTGTTCGGAATCATCGGCACAGGGGGACAAGGTTGCATGTAAACTGAGGTGAGGTAACCATTTTCTTTGCAGGGCCACACGCACTTGTCCCCCCCCCCCCTCCCACTTGGATTGTGACCGTTTGCAAGTGGAGTCATTCGTTGGATTGTTCGGAATCATCGGCACAGGGGGACAAGGTTGCATGTTAACTGAGGTGAGGTAACCATTTCCTTTGCAGCTCAAGGCCACATGCACTTGTTCCCCCCGGATTGTGACAGTTTGCAAGTGGAGTCGTTCGTTTTGTTCAGAGTAAGTCAAACCATGATTCTTGTATTTTTCATGTGCAAGCGAATTTGAATCTATCCTGATTCTATAAGTCAAAGCAACTGCTAATTATTATATTATGTGAACCAATTTGCGCAGCAGTTTTGAGCAATTCTGTAATAAAATTTCTCTCAGAAAAAAAACGTTAAATTTGCTTGTACATATATATGTAACTTGAACCATCCTGGAAAAATTTCAGTGAAAACAAAGTTTTAGAAATAAGCACAAAAGTCGATTTGTTTGTCAGGATTTTGTTGAAATAAAGGAAAATTGGGAGAAAAACATTCCCAACAGCCCAAATTCTTTTCAATTTTTTTTTTTTTTTTAAAGATTACATTTTGATTAATGTTTTACTTAAACAATAAGAATGTCCAGGGTGGTTGAAATATGTGTTTGTGATGTACTGGTTGGTGGTGGTTGTGTGCTTGTTATTGTGTGGGGTGTAGGTGGTGGTTTGTGTGGGGTGTAGGTGGTGGTTTCTCCACAGGTCATCGGAGTTGAACTGGTGCTCCGGGTTGAGGTGTGGGGTAAACCCAGTTAATCGGGGTTGGACTGGTGCCCGATTGAGGTGCGAGGCAAACCCAGTTCCAAGGGATGGGTTGCGTTCGCGTGGAAGGTCCGCCTTTCACGAGGGGACGTGGGTCCTACGCAGCGGCCTGGAAACCCTAGGATGCCGTGCCATAAAGGAGCAGGTAGTGCGTCCCTCTTTATAGGGGCGTGGCCCTGTATTCACAGCCGGCAAACGCTGCTACTTCCTCAAAACGCATGAACCTGTAATGGGGGATGGACTGAGGGGGGCACGCATATAGGTTAGGGTACTCTCCTGATCCTTCGGGGTTGGGGGGGCGTACCGGACAGTCGGCAACTGTGCATGGCCCTCCGGGGCCGGCCTTTTGCCCAGCAATGGACCTGACGATACTGAAAGCGTGTTTGGAGCTGGTATCCTGGGACCTTCACGTGGTGGCCCTGTTTAAACTAATCTTACCAGGATGTGCTTCCAGAAGGGTTACATCTAAAAACAAGGTCAGATTTTAAGAAGGAATGACTTTTTGAAGAAATGTGAAATTTAATTTGCACTTTTGAAAAATAAATTCTCAACAAACATCATAATTATTGCCAATCAGTCAAAATGGACTTCAATTTTAGACCCAAAAAACATTCCATTTGTTTCTTGGGTTATTATTTTTTCCATCAAGTAAACCAAAGCATTCTGTTGGAGAAAGATTTTAAAACCTTTTCTTACAATGGAAAACAATCTCCTCCTCTTTTTCTGACTGGAGTTCAGAGTGGGTAAATAAAGGCCTTTTTGTGGATATTGAAATTGATTCCACCTCTCAAATTTCACTCCAGTTTTAACTTGGCGTTCTGAATCTATAGCTTAAAAATTCTGTGCGCGCTAAATAAAGAGAACATATAAGTAAAACAACACAAAAAAAATTGCTTTTGTGTTTATAATTGGAAATACAAAATTTGTGAACAAGACTTGTGTGCAAAATGTACTTTGAAAACTTGACCACTTGAATGATTGTTTTGTTTTGTTTTTGATAACACTGCAAGGTACAAGCTACCACGGAGGAGAAGCTTACTGGAGAGAAGAGGGAAAGTAGCAATGAACCAACGACTTCAGGGGAATCCGATCGTCCAATCCAAGGTGAGCATCTGATTACAACTGATCCATTATAGACAGCAAAAGGAATGGAGAAACATCTTCAAAACGGCTGAAATTACGATTGGACATTTGTCTGTGAACAAATCAAATTCTGTACTTTGAAGTGAATTCTAAATTAATGGCTTTTGATGCTCTGCATGAGACGGTTTGAAATTGATTTTGTTGGGTCAGGTGTTTTAAATGCATCGGCAAATTGAACAGTTTGATTAATTTTAGCAGAAATTCACCAATTTGCCACTGGATAATGTTGTTTTGCAAGTTATTTTGTTATTGCAGTTTAACCCCCCCCCTCCCCACTGGAGATGAGAGGCTGTAGAGGAATTTGTTGTGGTGACAATGAATCATTCTAATCAAAGGTGAGCAAAACATCTGACTGAAGATGATCAATTCAAGACAGCAAAGGGAACGGATTAGACTAAGAAAAGGCTGAAATTATGATCGCACATTTGCCAATTCAGAGGTCCTTGTCAGAGCAAAAAATACATGCTCAAGTCAGATTGTGTATTTTTTACATGCATTCCAACTTTGGAAATTTATTCTCGACATGATTGATGACTTGAAATTGGTTTTCGCAGTGCATTTTGGCAAATTTCTTTCAATTCCACAGTTTGTCAAGAATTATGCTTTCTGGTTATTCTCAGCCCTGATCATTTTTTTTCTTAGGATTTAAAACATTAATTTCTTGTTTTACTTTCCTTCCTTTCCTGATAGTCAGTATGGGCTCTGAGAAACACGCAGGAGACAAGATCTGCCGCAGTCATTGTTAGCAAGAACTACCAGTTTAATAAGATCTGATTTTGCACTTGTGCTTTGAAATCAAGAAGCAATTGTAGTTGACTTCCAAGGTAGAGAGTAGACTCTCTGCTGTTGTCACAAAGATTTACACATGTGTATATGAAGGACAGTTTTGCAAGTTGTAAACATATCTTTCAAACTACGAATGATTTGCTGATTGTGCATGTGCCCTGAAAGTGTCCACTGGTTCCACCTCAGAAATTGCTTTCAAATGTGGTCATCCGATTATAGTCTCCATAATCTCTTGAGATCAACTCAAGTCTGCATGTCCTCTTGATAGTAACTACAACATTGATGTCTTATTTGTGATGGATAAAATATCTTCTTTGTAGTTGAGATGTTCTTAAATTCTGAAATTGTCTGATGATCCACTATGAGCCCTGTCTGATAAACACTATTCTAAGACCCCACTGTTCTCAATCCAATTCAAGTTGACTTGACTCTGATATGCCTTTTTGTTTCTATCTCACATCTTCTCTGCAGGTGGACCACACAGACAGCACGATAGTCTTGCAGAGGAGAGCGTTTCTCACGAGTGGATTTACAACTGACTGACCAATCAACCTTCATCAGAACTTTCTGAAGTTGTGGTGGTGGGAAAGTGGTGGTGGGAAAGCTAGGTTTTCAGGTTTGAAATGGAATGTTGTTCTAGGTTATGACTGGTTAAATATTTGGTATTTTGTAAATATTGAAAAAATTTTAACTGTATGCAAACACATAAAATTGTGATATTTTCTCCAAGATGTTTGATACTTGTGTAACGGCAAAAAATGGCTCACTAAGAAAAAATCTTGGTTTAAATGATTGTCACGATATAGTTTTAGAAACTGGGACAAAGAAGAAAAGGAATCAAGGAAACCAAATATACTTCTCAAATTTTGAATTTAGTCTGAAACAAGGAGATCTTTTTTCACTAAAACAATTTGTTTCCTTAAATAAAAAAACAGTCTTCTTAACTGAAAGAAATCTCAATCTGGATCAAACAATGAATAAAAAAAGCTCAAAAGGAATTTGCCAAGGAGAAAAATTAAACTTTGCCAAGGATAAAATAGTAAACAATTGGATACAATTCTAGGAGAATAAGGAAAAACTAGGGTATAAACAAATGGACAGCAGGAAAAAAGTAAAAAGCCACGCAGCATTATTGGAAAATGACTGTAAAGGCACAGCAATGATCTACAAACCAATGACTCCACAAGCAGACAAACCCAAGCAGGAAACAACTCCAGTTAGGAGGAACTTAGAATGAAATACTGTGAACTATAAACTGCTGGTCTGCTGGCTACAGCTAAAGTGTGGCTTGTAGGGCTGTCCATTTGCAAATAATTTAGTATTTGATGATTTCAAAACTGCACTTCACTGAATGTTTGAATATTAGAAACTTGCCGATCAAGTGTGACACACGCAAGCTGCAGCTGCCTTCCTAGCTGGTCAACAATTGCATATAAAGCATGCTGGTTACAAATGACATGCGTTGATGGTATTGTCTCCTTTTCTTTGTCTGTGGCATCCATAGGGAGGTTGCTGACAGCCAGGTGATGACCAGCATCTTTCACCAGTAGTCTCCTGGTCTTCCACTGCATCTCCAATTTCTTGCCACCACAGACGGATGTTTCAGTGAAGTAGTTTTGCTGCAACCTCTCTGCCATCTGCCATGCGATGGGCGCTAGAGCACATCCCGTTGAGGAAGTCGGTAGCTAGGGGTGGAGGAGCAAAGTTCAAGTTAACAAAGCTGATGTTTAATGGTAGCTACTAGAGATCCTGGATGCTGACTCTGCCTGGGTAGGTGATGTTGAATACGATAGAAATCACTAGGGAAAAGTTCTATATGAACAGCATGTGAAGTGACAGTCTCTAAAAAGAGAAGTGGTTCTGAAGATTTGAAGATTTAGTCAGTGATCTGTGACTGTCATCAGGAGAATGCCTAAACGTAAAGACAGGTGATCATTTAACAGGTGTGGAGCAGATCCAGTGTGGATCAATGAAGCATGATGTGATAATACAGCCAGCTTAGGGTTGCATTATTTTAGGAATAAATGACCCGCGAGTCTTGGAACTATTGATAATCAATAACATGTGAAAATTACCCTGTAGTACCTTCTGATCAGCATAAACCAGAAGAGCGATCACGCAGCAACTTGGAAAAAAATTGATGCGTGCCGGTTTTGTACGGTCCCTACATACATTGATGTTTAATTTCAGTTTTGCTTTTTATTTTCAATTCAAGGTTTTCACAATGCCTGGACCTAAAAGTGCTGAAATGCCCTGAAACTGCACATCAAACATCAGGTAGGTCAACACCATTGTCACAAACTCACAGGCACGCGCTGTGTAGTGTCAATTCGTGAAAACTACATAGTCAATCATTTCGGTTTCATGAGCGCACTTCGTACACTGACGCGTAATACAATAATTTTAGTTTTCACGAACTGAAGTGCAACCATGTACATGTAGCAGATATACAATTAGGAGAAAAATGCTTTGAAAGATTTGACATGAATTTACTCCATCCGTATACTTGTGGGCTTAAACAAAAATTTATTTAAAAACCATTTTACTTGTGAAATTAAAATACACTCGCGCGCTGGGCACTCACGCACAACTGAATGTCGATTCATGGTGTCTGTGACAACATTTTTGTAAGATATGGCGGTTCAATGTTTTTTTTCAGAACTTAATTACTAGTAAATTTACAGAATAAAATCAATGGTTGATTTTTACATCCCTGCCTGCATCAGTGATCAATTGCATAAACTTTATTCAAAGTGGTTGTTACATCAACTATTTACTTGAAATGGATCAGTAGAGGTTTTACGCACCATTAATGGAACAGATCCTTGCTTGAACATTGTAGTAACCAAGTTATTGTTAGTGCACCTTCTTCAGACATCTCTGTGAACAAGTTCACTCATTGTGTTACTTTCCATTCTGTGTATGTGTGTAATTATCTTGTTTGTTTACCATTTCACTTGCTTCATAAAGTCAGGTATTTGTTCCGTAAAATAAAATTAAAAACGGCTTCAGCAAGTGTATACTCAGTGACATGCAACCAACCCAGTTACTGGAGATCGCTTGAAGTAGATGCATGCAAGTTGTTTCTTCAGTCAAAATGTCCTACTTGTGATAGCGTCAAAATCAAACAGTTGGCTGAACTTGCAGACAGAATAATGGATGTTGCTGCTCCACAGCAGCCAGCCAAGGTCAACTCAGTCGCATCTACATGCACCCCTGCATCACTGACAGAAGTGCAACTTCTTCACACAGAAATAAGCCAGCTGTCACTGCAAATACAAACATTGTCCGCAGGACGTCATCGTTCTTGCAGTCATTCAAGCAATCGACCACGCTCCCTGTGATAGTAAAAAAATATTGAGGGTCTAGGAGCTGGATGACGGAGAACAACTCTGGAGACAAGCTGCTGGAGAAGAATCACTACACGGCCAATCTCCAACACTCCGCGAAGGAACACTCATCAGACTCTCTTTAAGGCGGATAAGGGGAGGATTCTGGCTCTGGCCCAACAGTCTGTGGATGCATGCTTGAGAACCCCTCAGGGTAACCGTATCACAGATGAGGGTTTGGGGAAGTGACCGGGAAAGTGCCCAACACTCTGTGGAGGAATGCTCAGGAACCCTAGGGCAACCATAACATGGACAAGGGCCAGGCCAACGCCTGTACGTGGTACTTGAAATCATTCCTATGGCTTTTAGACTCCATCATTACAGGCACGGGTCCATCTCAAATCTGCAGCCTTGAAGATCTCCGGACAGCGAAATCCATTCTTTTCCTATTCTTTCACTTAGTGGCTGGAATTGTGTCTTGTGTTGGGAAAGCTACCATTCGCAGCAGACCTGACCAGACACCAGCAGTGTATAGGCCTACATCCTTTAGTTTCCTTCAATCGTGTCTACTGAGGAGGAGCATTATATTGCTACCTCGGCATCCGTATCAGGTTGTACAGAAGCGACAAGAGATTGAGGCACTGGTGGCCAAGATGACAGAAGATCTGCGCAAGGTGGAATCCTCTCTCCTGGCCCCCTGGCAAACGCTGGATGTGCTACAAACTGCCATTGAACAGTGCACCTTGTATTGTTGCGTGTCGGCAATTGCCAGAAGAAAAGTCTGAAGTGGCTAAAGAAAGAGGTGGTGAGGTTGGTGCAGAAAGTTTGCATCCTTCCGATGAGGACCACCACCAATGACGTCTGTGCGACGTCTATACAGAAAGGTGTAGGTCTGATGGATCCCAACCGGGATGCTGCAGTCAAACAGTCACGCAAGCCGTACGCATTTCATCTTCACCTGACAATATCGTCCGCAGTGTCTCCACCATGCAGCTGACTTCTATCATCTGCCGCACCATTCAGTTCATGAGCGGGTCTATGGAGGGGGACTTGGGTCCCACGCTAGGATGGTGGTTCGCCTGTTGGGTATCTCTTTCAGGGGCTGCTGTTCCAGCTCAGTACTTACACGTACAGACAAGGGAAAGGAGATACGCTCCAAGAGCATTACCACAGCTCTGCGTGCCGCGGCTCGAGAGTTTCACTCTTGTTGAGAACCGACCGCAGCCGGTAATTCCAATCAGCCCTCTTTCGTACCCTCACTTGATCTTGATCTTGATTGATATAGCTGTAGGCTCCTACAGGAACATCACTCAGCTTGGAAGGGATGGACGTGCTATTGACGAGTGCTGAGGGATCTAAGGGTATCACTAAATTGATTGGTGTCTCCTATGCCAGTAATGTGCTGAGGGAGGTCGTTCCAGTCCTTGCTGGTCTGATAAAAGAATGAGTGTTGGAGTCCTTTGATATTGGTGAAGGGGATCTGAAGGTAGTTGGGTTTTGAGCGTCTCGTTGTTATTTCTGGCTGCCTAATGGTTATTTCAGGTGGAACGTTAACGTCGATCCGTCCATTCAAGATTTTGTGGAAGTTTGTGAGGCGCTGTACGTATCTCCTATTTTCCAGGGTGGGTCATTCCAGTTTTTCAAGAAGAGCAGAAACAGATGTAGAATTGTCCCAGCTATATGTGTGAGTGATGAAGCAGGCAGCTCTTTGTTGAACCATCTCCATCTTGTGTTTATTGGTGGCTGTGAAGGGATCCCACACTGATGCACAGTAATCGAGCTGAGGACGGACTAAACTTTGATAGGCTTGGAGTTTAACCTTGGGTGGGGCTGAACCTAAGTTGCATCTAAGAAAACCAAGCATGGTGTTAGCTTTAGCTGTGTCTGCATTGATATGAGTATTCCATTTCATGTCCGATGAGAGGTGGACGCCAAGGTACTTGTGGCTTGTAACTGATTCCAGAATGTGACCAGAGAGCTTGTATGAAGAGTGGATGATGTTTGTCTTATTGGTGAATCTGATCACATTGCATTGTTCTGGTTTGAATGACATCTGCCAGCGCTGCTCCCACTCCTCTAGTGTCTTCAGGTCTTGCTGAATAACATCGCAGTCAGATGAAGATGTCATTTTGCGATAAATGACACAATCATCGGCGAACAAGCAAACATTCGAGTTCAGTCCTTCGGCAATATCGTTGATATAGACTAAAAAGAGGAGAGGGCCCAACACAGTGCCCTGTGGCACAGCAGATGAGACGTGGACTGGTTGGGAACTGACTCCCTGGATGACAACTGATTGTTGTCTTTGGCTGCAAACACATACACACCACTACCCACATTGCATGGTCCAATGATTACAATGCCAGCTCAAGCTCTGTGAACACTCACATCATTCTCTAACTTTCCATTGTGTGCTCACGTGTATGAAATAGTGTTTGTGTACCGTTTTACTTGACTCTAAAAGTCAGTTATTTGTTTCAGATAATAAACCATTATTGTCTACAGCCTCACAAGTAATTCACTCTATCATAACTAATCTATATTTCATTTTTTTGCACAGTCTTTGATAAGACAGGACCTGAGTAACCTGAGTAAGTCATCAGACGCCTGTTATCAGAACCACAAGAAGAGGAACATGTGTTTCAGGTGAGCTAAGAACTTGTTCAATATACTTGAGTACTTGCTTTCGCAACAATGTTTATGTGAATATGGGTTGATGATAAATTCATGCTAAAAGTTTGCTGTAGATGTGAACGCAAAGGAAGCTAAAATTCTAAACTCTATCTTCAAAACTCCTCCCTACCTATATTCTACCTATTATTATAGTTGTTCTCCCATTTTTGTAGAGCCTCAAAAGCTACAAAATCCTGCAAAAATCTGAAAAAGAAATCATAAACTGCATGTATATATATGTTATGTATATTCAATTTTCAAGTTTTTAATTGAATTTCAGGTTTTCCTGCTCTTACCAAGAAGACGTTGCTCTTGATGCTGGAATGCCCTGAAACTGCACCACTTTGTGATGACATCAAACATCAGAGAAACTACATCCAAGGTGCCTTGGGCCTATTTAGAATGTACTAGGCTGTTAAATGAGAAAAAAAGGTTATATGGGCAATTCCATGCTGGTGGAGACACAAGACCAAACAATTATTCTACGGTTTGTTCAAGTTTGATTTGCTGAAGTTACACAATATAGCTTGGCGTTTTTAAAACTGAAATAGTTTTGTCCCATGCGCGCACTATTTTGTGAGTTACGGTACACCATCACATCAAAGTCTGCAATGACGTCATGATGACTTATGGATGCACTGGTAAGGAATTTTGAATTAGTCTTTTGCTATCTTTTCAGTTATATTTTCTCTCAATTTAAGTTACCATTTTTTGGGTGTCTTTGTGAAAATTGATATTATTTCTATTATGTTGTCAATTTTAGTCAGATTTTGCTTCTGAAATGCGATACAAGTTTAATAATTTATAAGTTACTAAAACATATATGTTTTCTTTGTAAATACCTACATTTTCTGACCAATGAATTATTCCGTTAAAAGTTTCTAAGCTTGAGTTCTGAGAAGTACATTGTAAGTATATTTAAAAAAATAGAATTTTGTTACATTTTTGTTTAAATGCTTAGGCCAGCCATGAAATATTGTAATGTCGCCACATGTAATGTCATGCAGTCACAATCTCTTAGCGTAACGTAATGCCAGTCACATTATTGCACAGTCCGTAGTTGAGGAAAATGCAAGTACACATGTTATTTAAGTCCATATCTTACCAGGATGTACTTCCAGAAGGGTTACATCTAAAAACAAGGTAAGATTTTAAGAAGGAATGACTTTTTGAAGAAATTTAAAATTTAATTAGCAACTTTTGAAAAATAAATTCTCAACAAACATCATAATTATTGCCAATCAGTCAAAATGGACTTCAATTTTAGACCCCAAAATAGCATTCCATTTGTTTCTTGGATCATTATTTTTTCCATCAAGTAAACCAAAGCATTCTGTTGGAGAAAGATTTTAAAACCTTTTCTTACAATGGAAAACAATCTCCTCCTCTTTTTCTGACTGGAGTTCAGAGTGGGTAAACAAAGGCCTTTTTTTGTTGAAATTGAAATTGATTCCACCTTTCCAAATTTCACTCCAGTTTTCACTTGGCATTCTGAATCTATAGCTTAAAAATTCTGGGCACGCTAAATAAAGAGAAGTAAAACAACACAAACAAAATTGCTTTTGTGTTGATAATTGGAAATACAAAATTGTGGACACGAGTTGTGTGCAAAATGTACTTTGAAAACTTGACCACTTGAATGATTGTTTTGTTTTTGATAACACTGCAAGGTACAACCTACCACGGATGAGAAGCTTACTGGAGAGAAGAGGGAAAGTAGCAATGAACCAATGACTTCAGGGGAATCCAATCGTCCAATCCAAGGTGAGCATCTGATTGCAACTGATCCATTATAGACAGAAAAAGGAATGGAGAAACATCTTCAAAACGGCTGAAATTACGATTGGACATTTGTCTGTGAACATATCAAATTCTGTACTTTGAAGTGCATTCTAAATTAATGGCTTCTGATGCTCTGCATGAGACGGTTTAAAATATATTTTGTCAGGTCAGTTTGTTTCAAAATGCTTCGACAAATTGAGCAGTTTCAAAACTGAACAATTTCCAGTTTAATTGATTAAATGAAATTCACCAATTTGCCACTGGATAATGTTGTTTTGCAAGTTATTTTGTTATTGCAGTTTAACCCCCCCCCTCCCCACTGGAGATGAGAGGCTGTAGAGGAATTTGTTGTGGTGACAATGAATCATTCTAATCAAAGGTGAGCAAAACATTTGACTGGAGATGATCAATTCAAGACAGCAAAGGGAACGGATAAACCTAAGAAAAGGCTGAAATTATGATTGAACATTTGCCAATTCAGAGGTCCTTGTCAGAGCAAAAATACATGCTCAAGTCAGATTGTGTATTTTTGATATGCTTGTCAATTCGACATGATTGCTGGCTCGAAATTGGTTTTCGCAGTGCATTTTGGCAAATTTATTTCAATTACACAGTTTGTCAAGAATTATGCTTTCTGGTCATTCTCAGCCCTGATCATTTATTTCCTTAAGATATCAAACATGAATTTCTTGTTTTTCTTTCCTTCCTTTCCTGATAGTCAGTATGGGCTCTGAGAAACACGCAGGAGACAAGATCTGCCGCAGTCATTGTTAGCAAGAACTACCAGTTTAATAAAGTCTCTGATTTTGCACTTGTGCTTTGAAATCAAGAAGCAATTGTAGTTGACTTCCAAAGTAGAGAGTAGACTCTCTGCTGTTGTCACAAAGATTTACACATGTGCATTTGAAGGACAGTTTTGCAAGTTGTAAACATATTTTTCAAACTACGAATGATTCACTGATTGTGCATATGCCCTGAAACTGTCCACTGGTTCCTCCTCAGAAATTGCTTTCAAATGCGGTCATCCCATTATAGTCTCCATAATCTCTTGAGATCAATTCAAGTCTGCATGTCCTCTTGATAGTAACTACAACATTGATGTCTTATTTTTGATGGATTCAAAATCTTCTTTGTAGTTGAGATGTTCTGAAATTCTGAAATTTTCTGATGATCCACTATGAGCCCTGTCTGATAAACACTATTCTAAGACCCCACTGTTCTCAATCCAATTCAAGTTGACTTGACTCTGATATGCCTTTTTGTTTCTATCTCACATCTTCCTCTGCAGGTGGACCACACAGACAGCACGATAGCCTTGCAGAGGAGAGCGTTTCTCACGAGTGGATTTACAACTGACTGACCAATCAACCTTCATCAGAACTTTCTGAAGTAGTGGTGGTGGGAAAGCGGTGGTGGGAAAGCTAGGTTTTCAGGTTTGAAATGGAATGCTGTTCTAGGTTATGACTAGTTAAATGTTTGGTATTTTGTAAATGTTTTTATTCTAACTGCATGCAAACATACAAAATTGTGATATTTTCTCCACGATGTTTGATACTTGTGTAATGGCAACAAAATAGCTCACTAAGAAAAAATCCTGGTTGAAGTGATTGTCAAGATATAGTTTTAGAAACTGGGACAAAGAAGAAAAGGAATCAAGGAAACCAAATAGACTTCTCAAAAGTTTGATTTAGTCTGATAAAAAAGGACATCTTACACACACACACAAAACAACTTGTATCCTTAAATAAACAATAGTCTTCTTAAAATGCTTGAAAGAAATCTCAATCTTGATCAAACAATGAATAAAAAACTCAAAAGAAATTTGCTAAGGTAAAAATCAAACTTTGCCAAGGATAAAAATAAACAGTTGGATACAATTTTAAGAAAATAAGAGAAAAACTAGGGTATGAAGAAATGGACAGCAGGAAAAAAGTAAAAAGCCACGAAGCATTATTGGAAAATGACTGTAAAAGCACAGCAATGATCTACAAACCAATGACTCCACAAGCAGACAAACCCAAGCAGGAAACAACTCCAGCTAGGAGCAACTTATAATGAAATACTGTGAACTATAAACTGCTGGTCTGCTGGCTACAGCTAAAGTGTGGCTTGTAGGGCTGTCCATTTTCAAATAATTTAGTATTTGATGATTTCAAAACTGCACTTAACCGAATGTTTGAATATTAGAAACTTGCCGATCAAGTGTGATACACGCAAGCTGCAGCTGCCTTCCTAGCTGGTCAACAATTGCATATAAAGCATGCTGGTTACAAATGACATGCGTTGATGGTATTGTCTCCTTTTCTTTGTCTGTGGCATCCATAGGGAGGTTGCTGACAGCCAGGTGATGACCAGCATCTTTCACCAGTAGTCTCCTGGTCTTCCACTGCGTCTCCAATTTCTTGCCACCACAGACGGATGTTTCAGTGAAGTAGTTTTGCTCCAACCTCTCTGCCATCTGCCATGCGATGGGCGCTAGAGCACATCCCGTTGAGGAAGTCGGTAGCTATGGGTGGAGGAGCAAAGTTCAAGTTAACAAAGCTAATGTTTAATGGTAGCTACTAGAGATCCTGGATGCTGACTGTGCCTAGGTAGGTGATGTTGAATACAATAGAAATCACTAGGGAAAAGTTCTATATGAACAGCATGTGAAGTGACAGTCTCTAAAAAGAGAAGTGGTTCTGAAGATTTGAAGATTTAGTCAGTGATCTGTGACTGTCATCAGGAGAATGCCTAAACCTAAAGACAGATGATCATTTAACCCCTTAACGCTGGCTGACGGCGGTGACTGCAGCTCAATGAAGGGTGATGAGCCAGGGAACGCTGTGGCCGCATTCCTGCTGCATTCATTGATGGGCAATATCCAAATGCCTGCATGTACACATTCAAACTCAAAGTGCCGCTGATCCGTGGCTGACAATACCAGCATCAAGGGGTTAACAGGTGTGGGGCAGATCCAGTGTGGATCAATAAAGCAGGATTTGATAAAACAGCCAGCTTAGGATTGCATTATATCAGGAATAAATGACCCACATGTCTTAGATTTATTGACGATCAATAACATGTGGAAACACCTGTTATATACCTCCCGATTGCGTGCTGGTTCGTGTACGGTCCCTATACTTACATGTATAATTAATTTTAATGTCGCTTTTTATTTCCAATTTAAGGTTTTCAAGATACCTGGATCTCAAAGATGAGCTGCTTTTGATGCTGAAATGCACTGACACGGCACTACTTTGTGACATCACACATCAGGTAAATCCTCACTGCTTTCACAAACTGACATGTACGCATGTGGAGTCAGTTCCTGAAAACCGTGTTATCAATAATTTCAGTTTCACAAACTGACATGGGGGTGTGTGCGCGCACTTTAATAGTACACTGACTCGTAATAGAATAATGTAGTTTTTTACCCAATGAAACACAAGCATGTGATGGAAATACAGTATAAAAATGCTTTAAATTCAAAGCAAGGCTTCAACTCAAATTGACGCCATCCATTTACTTGTGGGCTTACACAAAAAATGAATTAGAATCCTTTAAACTGGTGACATTAAGACCGGTTTCAGTTTGTGAAAACCGAGTGTCAGTTTGTGGTGTCTTTGACAAAATTTTGATGACTTTGGTTTGCTTAGAATGTAGTTTTAATGCTTTTTTTTCTTCAGAACTCAAGAACTTATAAATTTAAAGGATAAAATTAATGGTTGACTTCACATTCCTGCCTGCATCAGTGATCAGTTGCATAAACTTTATTCAAAGTGGTTGTTACATCAACTATTTACTTGAAATGGATCACTAGAGGTTTTAGGCACCATTAATGGATCAGATCCCTGCTTGAACATTGTATTAACCAAGTTGTTGTTAGTGCACCTTCTTCAGACATCTCTGTGAACAAGTTCACTCATTGTGTTACTTTCCATTCTGTGTGTGTGTGTAATTATCTTGTTTGTTTACCATTTCACTTGCTTCATAAAGTCAGGTATTTGTTCCGGATAATAAAACTAAAAATGGTTTCAGCAAGTGTATACTCAGTGACATGCAACCAACCCAGTTACTGGAGATCGCTTGAAGTAGATTGCATGCAGGTTGTTTCTTCAGTCAAAATGTCCTACTTGTGATAGCGTCAAAATCAAACAGTGGGCTGAACTTGCAGACAGAATAATGGATGTTGCTGCTCCACAGCAGCCAGCCAAGGTCAACTCAGTCGCATCTACATGCACCCCTGCATCACTGACAGAAGTGCAACTTCTTCACACAGAAAAGCCAGCTGTCACTGCAAATACAAACATTGTCCGCAGGACGTCATCGTTCTTGCAGTCGTTCAAGCAATCGACCACGCTCCCTGTGATGGTAAAACATCTGAGGGTCTTGGACCTGGATGACGGAGAACAACTCTAGAGACAAGCTGCTGGAGAAGAATCACTACACGGCCAATCTCCAACACTCCGCAAAGGAACACTCATCAGACGCCCCTTTGGGCAGCAGTAAGGCGGATAAGGGAGGATTCTGGCTCTGGCCCAACACTCTGTGGATGCATGCTTGAGAACCCCTCAGGGTAACCGTATCACAGATGAGGGTTTGGGGAAGTGACCGGGAAAGTGCCCAACACTCCGTGGAGGAATGCTCAGGAACCCAAGGGCGACCATAACATGGACAAGGGCCAGGCCAACGCCTGTACGTGGTACTCGAGATCATTCCTACGGCTTTTGGACTCCATCGTTACAGGCACGGGTCCATTTCAAATCCACAGCCTCCAAGATCTTCAGAGAATGAGACCAATCTTTTCCTATCCTGTCACTGGAATTGTGTCTTGTGTCGGGAGAGCTACCACTTGCAGCAGACGCTGACACAACACCAGCAGTACATTCTCTAGTTTCTTTTCACCTTGTACGTTTATCAGTGGGAGTTTGACTCAGACAGGCTAGCTGTTTCCAACCACTACCAAACTCACAAGTGCAGTGGGTCCGTTTCACCGATTGTCCGGGCTCTCCTGCGGCCTCATGACACACCTTCCAAGCCTGTGGATACAACGCTCCCAGCCCATGGCTTGGTTGGTCAATTAATTATGACTGTACTGACATCAGCCTAACACTCTGTCACCCAGGAGCACGAATCAGGGACTTCCCAGCCGGGACTGGGATCAAGTGAGATCTGGCCTTTTCCCAACACTCCACGGATGAATGCTGGAGTTCCCTGCGGGGTTCTTCTAGCGTGGATGAGAGAGTTGCCCTGGTGCTCCAATACTCCGTTTGGGGCCCTTTGGTTTTTCATAACACAGATGAGTGTATGTACATGTATGTGCTGGGGGAGCAACCGAATCCATGTGACTGATGTGCGGCGCTGGAATTCCATCACAGCTAGGTGAGGGAGCAGGCCGGGTTGCTTTTGGACATGGCCAGCAAGCTGCGGCTTACCTTCAGACCAATGAAGTGTGTCACTCTGTCCCTGGAGTGTCGCAGAGGTCGGTGAGTGCTTCCCTCAGTCTACAAAGTGCAAGGCAATGATATTCCAGCACTGACTGAGGAATTATATCGTTACTGTCACGTCCGTATCGGGTCGCAGAAGTAACAAGAACCTTGAGGCAGTGGTGGCCAAGATGACAGAAGATCTGGGCAAGGTGGAATCCTCTCTCCTGGCTTTCTGGCAAACGCTGGAAGAAAAGTCTGAAGTGGCTAAGGGATGAGGTGGTGAGGTTGGTGCGGAAAGTTTGCATCCTTCCATTCAGTTCATGAGCGAGTCTACGGAGGGGGACCTGGCAAACTTCAGCTTGAGCAGACAGATCTGTACCCTCTGGTCCCAGGCTATTATGGTGGTTGGCCTGTTGCGTATCTCTTTCAGTGGCTGCTGTTAGCTCAGTAGTCGCACGTACGGACAAGGGGAAGGAGATACTCTCCAAGAACATGACCTTGGTTCTGCGGGCTTTCTGGCAAACGCTGGACGCACTACAAACTGCCATTGAATAGTTCAATTACCAGAAGAAAAGTCTGAAGTGGCTAAGGGATGAGGTGGTGAGGTTGGTGCGGAAAGTTTGCATCCTTCCGACGAGGACCGCCACCAATGACATCTTTGCAGACAGAATGGTGGGCGGTCTGGGTCTGACGGATCCCATCCAGGATGCTGCAGTCAAACAGTCACGCAAGCTGTATGAATTTCCTCTTCACCTGGCAATACCGGTTGCAGTGTCTCCACCATGCAGCTGACTTCTGTCGTCTGCCGCACCATTCAGTTCATGAGCGAGTCAACGGAGGGGGACCTGGCCAACTTCAGCTTGAGCGGGCAGATCTGTACCCTCTGGTCCCAGGCTATTATGGTGGTTGGCCTGTTGCGTATCTCTTTCAGTGGCTGCTGTTATGGCTCAGTAGTCTTACGTACGGACAAGGGGAAGGAGATACTCTCCAAGAGCATTACCACGGTTCTGCGGGCCGCCGCCCGAGAGTTTTACTCTGGTAAATTTCTCTTGTTGACAACCGACCGCAGCTGGTAATTTGAATCAGCCCTCTTTGGCACCCTCACTTACTTGGCTGCAAACACGTACACACCACTGCCTGTCTTTCAGAGCATGGTCCAACGATTACAATGCCGACTCAAGCTCTGTGATGAACACTCAAATTGCTCTGTAACTTTCCATTCTGTGTGCTCACGTGTATGAAATGTGTATCGTTTTGCTTGCCTCTAAAAGTCAGTTATTTGTTTCGGATAATAATAACCAATGTCGACAGCCTCGCAAGTAATTTAATCTATAATAACTAATCTATGTTTTTGATTTTGTGCACAGTCTTTGATAAGACAGGACCTGAGTAACCTGAGTAAGTCATCAGACGCCTGTTATCAGAACCACAAGAAGAGGAAGGCATGTGTTTCAAGTGAGCTAAGAACTTGTTCAATATATGCAACAATGTTTATGTGAATTATGGTTTGATGATAAATTCATACTAAAATTTTGCTGTAGATGTGAACGCAAAGGAAGCTAAAATTCTAAATTCTATCTTCAAAACTCCTCCCTACATATAGTTGTTCTCCCAAATCAGTGGAGCCTCAAAAGCTACAAACGCCTGCAAAAAAGTAATCATAAACTGCATGTATACAAGTATGCTATTTATATTCAATTTTCCTTTTTTAAATTTTTTTTTCAACTTAAATTTCAGGTTTTCCTGCTCTTACTAAGGAGACGTTGCTCTTGATGCTGGAATGCCCTGAAACTGCACCACTTTGTGATGACATCAAACATCAGAGAAACTACATCCAAGGTGCCTTGGGCCTATTTAGAATGTACTAGGCTGTTAAATGAGAAAAAAAGGTTATATGGGCAATTCCATGCTGGTGGAGACACAGAACCAAACAATTATTTCACGGTTCGTTCAAGTTTGATTTGCTGAAGTGACACGATATATCTTGGCGTTTTTAAAACTGAAACAGTTTCGTCCCATGCGCACACTATTTTGTGAGTTACGGTACACCATCACATCAAAGTCTGCAATGACGTCATGATGACTTATGGATGCACTGGTAAGGAATTTTGAATTAGTCTTTTACTATCTATTCAGTAATAATTTCTCTCAATTTTTTATGCTACCATTTCGAGGGCGTCTTTGTAAAAATGGATATTATTTTTATGTTGTCAATTTTAGTCAGACTTTGCTTGTAAAATGAGATACAAATTTTATTCACTGAAACAGATTTTTTTCTTTGTAAATACCTACATTTTCTGACTAATGAATAATTATGTTACAAATTTCTTAGCTTGAGTCCTGACAAGTTTATTTTAAAAAAATTATTTTGTTTACATTTTAGTTTTAATGCTTAGGCCAGCCATGAAATATTGTAATGTCTGCCACATGTAATGTCATGCAGTCACAATCTCTTAGCGTAACGTAATGCCAGTCACATTATTGCTCAGTCCGTAGTTGAGGAAAATACAAGTACACATGTTATTTAAGTCCATACACATACAAGTAGTCAACTATTTGAACCAAAATGCAACTGAGTGCCAAGCCACTGTCTGAGCAACTTATATATTTTTTCACAAAATAAGTATTTTTTAAAATTTTATTTGGACATCTGTAACCCTTTGATAAAATGGAAAATATATTTGTTTTGCTTTTGGGCACAAGTAGTCTATCATTGTCCATTCTGATGGGGTGGGGTGGGGGAAGTCTTCCCTGTGAGAACTGAATGATTGTTTGCCACCAAATAGTTTGATTTTCATAATACCCTATTTATTACTTAACATTGGCTAACTTATTTCATTGTTTTGTTGTTGGTTCATTGGATAACTTTGGTATTGCTAGAAAAATAGCAAGTAAAATTGTGTTAATGTAAACATGTACAAATTATGATTAATTCAGTTGATAATTTTATATTTTCAGGAAAGATGTACAGCCAAGTTGCAACTTACAGCAGCAGAGAGAAAGACACAGCAGAAACAAAACTTGGAAGAAAAGGATTTTATGAAGACCACAAGAGGAACAAATGAAAGAGGAATAGACAGAAAAGAACAAAACATGAGGAGTTTCATAAAGTGAGCAGGAATAAAACTATGAGAAAAGTAGTTGGAATTGAGCATGGAATTTGTTAAATATGTTGAGACCTCAAAATTTTTAGTAACCAGAAAATATGATGCAATTCTATTTACACAGTTTTTATTGGAGACAACTTTAATAATGATTACGGTCACTTTGCAAAATTTCTTACTTAATTAGCTTTATGATCAGTTACTTTTTGGTGTTGACGGTATATACATGTAGGTTTTTTATTACGTTTTTGTTTTTGATAAATTCTAAAACTCTCTGAGTTCGGATATTGAAAAATTATTTTGTTCTTGCATACAGTCACTATTGGAAATTATAAAGAAAATAAAACTTGACCTGAACAGAAACTTTTCAATACACAGTGTCTCATTTCTCAATTATTATGATTATAAAAACTTTCATTTTACATCTTTGTACATGTATAAAGTGTTATACTGGCTATAAATTATATGAGAAATAAAATATGACATCCATTGGCCTTTAATATGAAGAGAAATTTCAAATTTGCTCTATCATTTGTTTCCTGTGTTGCTTTTTATGTAATGTCAGTCACAATAAAGAAAGAGTTATGTAAGCAAAGGACAGAAAAGATCAATGCGTCTACAGGTTGGAAAATGTAAAAACACTTCATCCCCCAAAAATGATGCGTATTGGAATTATATGATGCGGCTGATTAGTGTACGCAAACATAATGGCGTGTTCATATTTCAGTTTTTGGCATGGCGTCTCTGCGTAAACCTATTGAGAAAATCGCGTTATAATTTCTTGCCACAAAAATGCTCAAAATTCACCGTACACCTTGAAAAATTCACTCTTTTACTTCTAATTGCAATCAGACGTTATGTCTTGTACATCATAAAATTAAGAATGAGAGGTGGTTATCATTTTTCTTTAAGAGAAAAATTAGAATTAAAACCCTATGCCACTTTATCGATTAGCGTACGAGAAGAATTGAAGTGATGGCGTCACGCATAAAATTGTTCTGAATCGTGAGACTGATGTGAATTTGAAACCTGCCGAAACACTCTAATGTCTGTCACCATGGAATTGCCCATATACTTGCTAAAACTGTAGATTTTCTGGTTTTGCCCAATTAGTTACTTGGCGTTATTGTATTTTTGTTCATTTGCGTAGTTATCATTTGTTTAAATTTAAAATTGAGATTTTTGTTTGTATATCAATGAGAGAAATTTGTAGAATGTTGTATATAGTTGTGCACCCTAGTTGTGGTAAATAAAAATTAGTCTCAATGAGGAGCGCCCTCTATTGCCCATGAATTGCTAATGACTGTTTAATGAATGAATTATTACGAAATAGGCCTAATAATGGAATTTCGTAGCGCCGAATCAATTTAAAAAGTGCTCCCTGGCGCTTTACAATCAAACTATTTATATAAATAAAAGGAATATAAATACAATTTTACTAATGTGATTATTTAAAACTCAAAGTGTATGATCCACACTAACAATTGGTTTAAACATGATGCATAGGAGTGCTTTGTTACAAGGTGTAAGATATGGTTGACATGAATGAAATCAAGCCAAATTTGTGTCATGTAAAAGATGTTATCAAACAAAGTTAAACATTAGTAACTTCTTCGCAATATACAATTGAAACTGGTTTTTTTGTAAAGTGACATTTTGAAACTAAATTTCTAAAAGTTCTTAGAGGAAAAATTAATGTTTTAAGGAAACAAGATCCTTAAATATTTGCTTTTTGAGATGTCCTTAAATTTATGGAAAGAAAAGGGAAATGGAAAGTGTTTTTGAAATAATTTGAGCATTCTAAATTGAATTGGCATAAAAATCTAGCCAGATAGACACAGTTAAAATACTTGGTCAATAGAGGGCAGTATGCATTTATTATCTGTAACATGTTCGTAAATCAATGTTCAACTTATTTAAATTTAGTTGTACAAGCAATTATTCCTGAAATAAGGCGTTACTGTATTGGAACTGGTATTGTTTTTCTTTTTGAAGTGGTTAAAACATTTCAGAATTTGAAAAAAATAGTTGTATAAGATTTGAGGCAAAAATCACTGACAATTTTAAGTAAAATCGAGATAACCAAATTTAAAAACTCCATTTCCACATTCAAACAAAAGTTTGGCCTTCATAGTTAAAAACAACTTTTGTGGCCTTTTAAAGTTAAAAACAACTCTTTGCCCCCCCCCCCCCCCCCGAAGAATAAAATTAGTGAACAAATTTAACGTAGGACTTGCTTTTAAAATATTGAGCATTGACAAATTTAGAATCTTGTAAAGGGAAGTAAATTAACGTCTACATTTATTAAACAGAAATGTGTTTCTTGTTAAATACATGTATGTAAAGTTTAAAAACTGTAATATTAACTTTTAAACAAAAAGTGTGAAATAGGTTTGTAAAAAGTGTAAATAAAGGGCAACAATAGAAAGAATATGGAATAAATGTCTAAATTGAGAACCAGAATTTTGGGTCTGTTGTGGTTTCCTTCTGAATATTCAGTTTTCTGCTTTTTATTATTCAAATATTCAAATGAGCTGAGGCGGCCATTTTTTTTTTTTTTTTTAATATTGCACAATCTAACCTTTAAATATAAGTTCCGAGAACAAATTTTCGAAGAGGCCAGTGGCCTGGCGGTCTAGCTCGCTGACCGCCAGGCCCCGGGTCCCCGGTTCAAAACCCAGCCGGGGACCCGGGAGGAGAATTTTTCCTCACAGCAGTGATAAAATTTTAAAAATAAATAAAATAGTAGCATGGAGCAGGGTTGAACCGCGTACCTTCTGCATGCCAGCTCTCTTCTTTTCCGCTCTGCCATGGCACTTTCTTGAAAAAATCTCCGGTTATCGTAATTAAAACCCTTAGGTTGTTGGACTTAGACAATTTTTCAGCTTTGGCCAGAATTTTAGAAATCAAGGGGTACCCCTTGAAATTTTCTCAGATCTGAGGGTCTGAGGCTGGGAGGTTGAGAAGTTGGGAGCTGAAGGGGTTTGGAGCTGGAGGGTAGGCTTTGGGACTTTGGGCTGACTGGTTGATGGTTGAGAGGGAACTGGACTATTAGTTGAAGGGCTTCCTGACTGATAGGTCTGCAAGTTGATAGGACTAGGAAGGGTCTTGGGGATTTTTGGACTTAGAATTTATTTGGCTGGACTTTGATTTGGGAATATAATTTTCTCATATTAATTGGACTAAATTTTGGACTGAATATTCAGACTTCTTTTTTGAAGTCCTGCCCTGTCCTGTAAGTTCAGATCTGTCTTCGCAGCCAATCATCAGTCAGACTGGTAGTTAGCCTTTTCCTTTTTTGGAGATTGCTACACTTGTTGAAACCTGCTAGAGACCACATAAGACTGCTGGAATGCTGGTTACCAGTGGTGTGTGAGGTGGATGTAGACTTCTTAGCCTGAGGGTCTCGATACAACCTGGTTGAAGGGCCTTCCTCACTTGACCGTGTAGCGTGCCGTCAAATTGAGTTTTCATGCTTCGATGATTTTGTATGGCTTATCGCCCTCTCTTGTGAAGGTGTTGAGAGGTCACATGATAGTCTGGTGCCGGTGAAAATTTCAGGATTTTTAAAAAGGAATAATTTTTACACTTAATTTTTAGAGGTATGCCTAAATGTTTGCAAATTGTAGATTTGTTTCTCAGTGCAACAGTATAATGCAAAGTTTCTACGGCTTTGATTATATTTTACATTAGTACTTTTCTAAATGTTTAATCGTTTTTTAATTGTTACACGATTCCTCTTGGAATTTTATGGAGTTCTTAATTGAAGACTTTACTTTATGAACAATCGATGGACACATTTTAAATTAAGCTCAGCATATATTTCCAGAATTGTCGTCCACACAAATGTGTTGTTCTTGTTGCGTATTAGGAATATTTTTCATTCCGATTTAAATTTTCACACAGAAAACACTTTGTTGTTTTTGTAATATTAATTTAATTAATTTGCTGTAGAAATTAAATAGGCCTTTTAAAGACATCGTCTCAAAAACCAGTGTGTGGGTTTTTATGGGGACTTTTTTTTTCTTCATTATTTTGCATTGCAATTTTCTCGCTAGAAACTGATTATAATTGTTTTAGTAACATTAACTGTATTGTTTGATATTCCTGTTAAAATTTTTCAGGCTTCACAAAAACGTCATGATGAGTTTATAACGGAGGAAATTTCACTTTAATACAATGGGTATTTCTCATGATATCCTCCAGACAACGAGTATGTTCTGTTTCATTAGGTAGAGTAAAAAAAAAACATGTTTCTCGTCCAGGTTTTTGAAAAAAGGAGGAAGCGGGGATTTTTATTTTTTCTTTGTTTCAAGATGGCCACCATTTAAACATTTCCAGCAACTGTGGGTTTGCTACTGTTCAAAGACACTTTTAAAATGAAACATAAGTTGGACAAGAGAACTGAACATATTTACAGCATCATTTTAGGCTTGTATTGGTCTACAATTTATTTTCAGATGAATTAGTGGACTTTTTCGGTGGTTTTTTTACTTCATTTTTCAAAACAAAAAAAAAATAATAAAAAAATCCAGGCGGCCTCCAAAAAGGACGCAGGCGGGGACGAGAAACTTTTTTTTTTTTTTACTTTGCCTTAATGGTTGATTTAATTCGCATTGTACTTGTTTTCCTGCTGAATTAACACACTTTACAATATTAAATTTGACAATTCCTCTTCAAATTTGGGCTTTTTAAGACGTCAAATTTTCAAATTTTCGTGACGCGCATCGGCTGCGCTGTATTTTGAAGACATTCCAAGCAACAGGAGCGCATGTTTAGAACATTTTGCACACTACGCGCACATGGCGTTAAACACGCAGTTGTATAATTTTTCTACGAAGATGGCGTCCTATGAGAGAGATCTATTGGAGAATCCGGGCCTCGTCATCACAACCAACCAACAAACAAAATTTCCATGGACTTGCATTCTGATTGTACTTTTTCCACTGAACACATTCCATTGTGTTTTGTTTTATTGTTGCAAGAAAAACTATTGCAATAAATTGTTACGCACTCCCTGTTATTCTAGATTTGTATCTGCACATGTGCACTTAATCAGGCCATAGAGCTATAGTAAATTATTAGAGAGCTTATTCATATATGAATAGGATGAAGCTTGCTGGGCGCATGCATCCATGTTTGTGCTTAAGTCATCAGAAATTAGCTTAAATGTTGTATGTTTATACATTTCAAAGCTGTTATTACAACTTTCATTTCATTCTGTGCTATCACACTAGTGCGCTGCATAGATTTTTGCATTTTTTTGACTGTAGATCACGTGCCTGCTCAGCCATATTTCTGTTACATTTTGGCAACAAATTAAGCGCAGAAAAACTCAAAAGAATTGCTGTCATATTGGCGACGTGACTTGCACATTGATCTCGCTACATGTACATTCTTCAAGCACTGTGTTGAGTTCAGACAACTTTGAAGTGTGCAAGGGAATGAGGAGTAAACGCTCTCATAATTTACTACAGCTCTATGGAATGGACATTTTTACTGATAAACTACTATTGAGACAACAGAGGTCAAAGGTCACCCAGGTTCACTGACCTTTAATGTTGTAACGTACATGTCAACAAAACATATCTTCAACTGACAGTTTCCAAGATTGGTTTCAATTAACTTCAAATTTTCAACATTAGTAGCCTATCATCTTTTTACAAACAAAATTATGCCAACAAAAAAGCAAAAGATTTTTCAATTGTTTTACAGTAAGGCCACAAAAAAAACACTCAGTCTCTGGTCAGACCAAAGTACCGGAATTGATGCGGCGACACGTTTTTTTTTTTTTTTTTTTTTTTCAAGCTTTGATTGTACAGACAAGGTGGGGTACTATTTTGCTTTTTTTGGTGTCCTCATTATACATTGATGTCCTCCATAATTTGCTTTGGTGCCCTCGATCATTTGCTTTGGTGCAATTTCCCATTCCTTGGTGCTCTTTGGTAAAAAGTTTGAGGAGGTGCGCCAATAGAGGGCGCTGTTGGAGCTACCGTGGAACATTTTGGAAAAAAAAAAATTGACGCGCATGATTAAAATCGACGCGCACGCTGACCAGAGACCGACTATTTTTTTTTTGGCCTAACATAAATAAAGTTAAATACAAACTACTCGCAGTTTACTATCATCTTCAATTTCACAGAATTGATACAATATGTTTGTTCCAAGGCCTAATTATTTCCTTTTCATTCTTTTCTCTGAATTATGCCGTCAGCAATTTTTTGGTAGGTAAGGCAACAAACCCACAGACATATAAATGCATAGACCGCCAGGTCCTATTCAAAACTACATGAGCATTTCGTGATTTGCCTAGTGCCCGACTAAAATCAACACTATGGGCAAATTCACCTCTCGGTATATAGGATTTTACACACAGTTGACGAATTCCAGTCAAACATGTAAAAAAAAAATTGTAAAGTTTTTGATTGTAAACCAATCCCTTGTGAACTAAATATGATTTCCGTAGATTAAAAACAATACGGTACCCAACATTTTCAAGCAACTTTTGAGTAATACAGCCTTTACCAAAATAATTTATGAACTGTATTTAAATGTATGTATCGTACTCGGCACGTTAACGCAATGAACGTGCATCGTGCAGTTATGTATGTACTGTACTAAGCGCGTTGGCGCATTGAGAGGCATCGCAGTTATGCGCGCTGTCAACAAACATTTTGCCCAATTATCAAATCACGGTTTCACGCCCACGACTGGCGGTCTATGTGTTTATATGTCTGTGTACAAACCAGAAAGCATTATGGCGCCCTCTATGGCTGGTGGACATCTAAGAAAAATTAATTAACTTAACTATCTCTTGTGGATGCAGCGGCTGAGATGAACAGCGCCCTCTGTAGGAAAGGATGGAGAGGAGTCCTCATGTCACATGACTGACTGGCTCCATGCTCCCCACACCTGGGAAAATAGAAGACAAAATTGCAAATCAATAAATTTATCAAATTTATATTAAAAAACAAATTAAGTCAAAAAATGAGGATTGTTTGTTGGGTGACTGAGGGTATAGCTTTGATCCCAACTACACGCAATGAAATTGTGCAAATTGTATTTTAGAACATGTAGTTCATGTCAACAAACTTTTTTAAGGCTCCTCCCTGCAAAATAAAAACAGTGCTGTTTATGGAAATATTTAATTCTTTTGATTCTGAATCAACGCGCCTTAACACTTCTGTTTCTCTGGAAATATTTTAGTTTTCTGAGCAGCCACTTTAGACCTTTAACGTTAAACAACTTCAAAGATTGGGCATTCACTACATCAGGAATACATTGAACTTGGCCTGAAGAAGGATTTTCCAGTAAATATTCAAGGAATTTATGTTTAGAAATAATGACAGATTTTCAGACTGTCTCCCAATTGCTGCAGCTAGCAATAATGCGCCGATATGAAAGCGGCTGATAGACACGTGTTACTGACGACCATATATGTGAGGCGTTCTGGCAAAATGAGACAGAACTGGGCAGAGGTTGAAATGAGGGTTTGCAGGTATTAGGAAAGAGAATAAACTTCTCCTTACAATACTGTTTGTTGCATTCCCATCGGATATTCCGTTGACAAGTTATGGCTCACTTTAAAGTTGGCATTTATCAACATGTCAAAAAAGCAAAATACTAAGAAAAAGGCCTGTAAAGTTTTGAGTTTTGTATTCGTGAAAATGAAAGATGCCAATTATCTTCCTTAAAAACTCTTGTATTCCATGATTTTTAGACTACATGTTTTACTTACTTATAGGAATATCAATAAATCTGAGGTCGAAAAACAAAAATCACCCCCTATAATTTATTTTGCATTTTCCCTCCACTACGGCCTGTGCCCAGTTGCGTCTCATTTTGCCAGAATGCCTCACATATATAGCCTGATAATATTGACACGGACTTAAGCTTTGAGACAGGACCCACCTTTGGATTGGTGCCATGAAGTTGCACGGTGGCTACAGGGTTCCAGACCGTTCCTGCCATTCCATGAGCTGTCACCCCTCCCCCATCTCCCATGGCCATGTTATGATGCATGCCAGACATTGGCTCATGTTGCTCACCAAACCGGCTGACAGGTGTCTGTAGGAAATAACCAGGGCAATAAAGTTAGAGCTCGCAAGCATGACGACATTTCAGTAATGTCTTGAGATACACAAGGTACATCTTGATGAGGTTTTGATTTCTCTTTTTGATTTTCTCAATGATCGCTGTTCAGTTTGTGCTGGTCCCAGAGGGCCAGCCTACAGTCCTCTTTGTACCTCACGGATCAACTCACTATCACTTGTGAGCTGGGCAGTGCTGTTGTATAGGATTACCCTGTAACACCAATGAATGGGCTAAATCAATAGACCGCTTGCAGACGCGTTCGATAATCGACGCGCGAAGGAGCGCGACGCCATGTTGTGGGACAGGCGTATATCAATTCACGCACATTTTGTCCCATAACATGGCGTCGCTCACCTTAGCGCATCAATTATCGAACGCGTCTGCAAGCGGTCTATTGAATAGGACTGTGTGTACTCTGGAACGAACTTGAACTGCCTTGTGTTGTTGTAAACTGTTTTCAAGTCCTGAACTCATGCTGATTGAGTGTAGTGGGGGTGGTGGAGGGGTGAGATGCTTACTTGTTCATTTGGAAGCCATCCTCTCTTGACAGTGTCTTGATGGGGGAAGTTAGGCATCCTGTTAGCTGCTGTGCCTGGTATGTCCTCTAAGTTGCTACTTGGGATCCAGTCACCGCTGCTCCTTGGGGGAAAAATCAGCAGAAACAAGAAGTTTATATTAAAATCTGCCATTTACAAGAAAAATATTCTCTTGAATGGATGACAACTAATATTTTGCTGATCTGCATGTCCTGTATGTCCATTGGGTTTAGAAATCACGGTGGTCTATTATTTAAATTGTATTTTCATGGCCTGAACTGAAATGTTATCATATCCTTCTGAGTTGATTTTTATAACATTTTTTTAATAACAAGGATCCTTTAGCTTAGTTCTTCAAATAGGATCTTTCAGTACTGATCCAAGGAAATATGAGACTATTTCACACTCCTATTATCTTGATACTCCAGATATAGTCAGTTTTCATGCATCTAATGAAAGTGTGTGGTAAATGAAAACTGAGCTTACCTGGTGTATAAGCCCAGATGCTACTCCCTGGTGAACCAACAGGGTAACCCAGATCACTGACAGGTACAACAACAAAGCTGACAGGTGTCTTGCGTTGCCCTCGACTACGCTCATTGCTGATTGGAATTGGTAAGCGACGATCTTGACCAATGGCTGCTGGAGGCGGAGCCTGAGGCTGTTTAGTTGCCATGGTGACTGGACTGGGCGTGGCGGTTGGTCAACGAAGCAAGGCTCAATGAGATGAGAGAGCTGCTCAAAATAAAATTGAAATTATAAAAACTCAAAATTAATGAGAAAAATACATGTAATGTATAGCCGTGTCCGCACTGGACTTTTTTGGGGGAAGGTTTTACCGAGACGATGGTAAAATGAGAAATGGTCAAATGTGACCACTGTCCGCACTTGGACTTTCGACACAGGAAAATTTACCTAGACCGGGTGGGGGGGGGGGGGGGGTAACCGAGCTGTCACAGTGTCAGTATAATGACTCACCGTACACAGAAAAACAAATCGCTGATCACATTTTCAGCCGCCGATACGCACAGTAATATTACACACGCCATTTGCATGCACAACATTAATCGTTTACACGATATTATTTCATCTTGACATGCTAAATCTTAAGGCCTATAATTTTGACGCATTTGTGATGCACGTCGTCGAAGCCATGCTGCTGTACGATGTTCCATGCGGCAGCAGTACCATCAGTATTCGTTGGTTCCCATCGCATGCTTACAGAATCGAAGCTATGATGTGGGCCAGGAACCAGTGACTACGGCCTACGTACGGTACCGGACCATGATGTTCCATGCATGACTACAGTAGCGTATCAGGACGAAATTTGGATCGTAGAAAATAACATACATCGGTGGAGAAAGAGAATTTCCGCAAATTAATTCTCAGAACGTGATCTCTCTTCTCTGTGTATGTATTTGTCCGTTGAAATATATATTTTGACGATATTTTACCGCTCGTACTTGATGATACACCGCAGCGTGTTTCTACAAAATGTTCGGCCACTGCACGTGCAGGTTCGTGCGGTCTCTGTATGCATAACAGGGCGCTCGGGCCGGATGTACACTTTCCTGAGCCGCTTTTACCGACTCGCACTGTCCGCACTGGACTTATCGTCTCGGGAAAAGTGACCTGGTCAGTTTTCCTGGGCGCGTGGGAAGTTTTCCTGGGCAGCAGTTGGCCAGTAAAAGTAACCGCTGGACTCAGAAAAAGTAACCGAGAGGAAAACGTCCTAGGCTGTCCGCACTGGACTTAAAATGGGAAAAGTACCCATAGTCTCGGTTAGTTTGACCAAAAAAAGTCCAGTGCGGACAGGTGGACTTTTTTTTTTTTTAACTGTAAAAGATTATTTCACCAAATATGAAAAGACCAATGAACTTATCTCCGGTCCAAGGTACAAACTCAAGTGTAGAGTAAACATGTCAGCAAACAAACAAGATAATGAACTGTACATGTCTGTTGCGTCCAGCACTTGTCCCCCAAACTCCCCAAGCTCTATATATAAACCATGTCACGTTACTTGATGATGATTCTGTGTTTGCCAGTGCCATCTCTCTGGGATCCGCCCCCTCAAAAGCTTACCACTGTTCACACTCTTTGCATCTTCCAAATGAAAGCACTTTCAAAACCATTACTTTATTATCATCAATAGTTTGTCAAGTCAGAACTTAATGACCACAAGAATTCAAAGTTACTTCGATTCCATTTTCATTTTCTTACTCAACATTAAATGCAAGGTTTTATTAAAAAGATTATAAATGGATTGACTGACCTGGGTGTCATCTTCATTGTTTATTGTGCCATGTACCATCACCTGAAAGAGACAATGATTGAAAATAAAAAAGTAAGAGTCATTTCATGCAAGTACTTTATATAAGTGTCTACGGTAATAATAAAAGAGCAAAGGAAATCTGAATTTGGTGGCACCTGTCTAAAAGTAATTTACAAATAATTTGTTTTTGTAAAAATTTGTAAGATTCAGGATGATTTACTTTTTATACTCAATTTTAATTAGAAAACATCAACATAGGTTTTTTTTAAAATCATTTCTGGATTGATGCTGCAGAAAGACTACACAGTTGCCCAAGATGTTCTCACCAAATATGAAAAGATCTCATCACAGCCAACAGCAAAGTATTCTGAGTGCCGAGCTGGCAACTTGCATGTTTTTTTTTGGGGGGGGGGCTGTAAAAATGGAGTTCAAAATGCAACTTTAACTAGTTGTGAAAACACGTGCTACATTAGGGCATTTAAAATGTACAATGTATGTAAGGGTGAGGCTGTGTAGTGATACTATTTTGACATTGTCTTGCATTCAGGCTGGGTGGCCTTTCAAAAGAAAGCAACAAAACATATTAGTAGCGAGTCTGTAAATTGGCCCAAAATGTAGTTGCAATGAGCCCGTAAATTGGCCAAAAATTGCAAGACACATGCCCTGTTACTATGGCAATGGTCCTGGTATGGATTTTAAAAGACTTTGGTTATTTACTCCCAAGTCCAATCAAGTTGAAACAATCAAGTTTTGATTGAGGATATCGTATGAAAGATTGACATGAAACAACTCTTCAGACAGGTTGGCAATTTCACAACTGGAAATTCTGACTGAAGCTGGTTTGTGAGCTAGGTCAACGGAATTCACACCTTCTATAGAAATCCAAACTTGTTCATTGGGACTTTTACAAACAGAACAAAAAAAGAGAGATTAAATGAGTCCATTATGTCACAGAATGGAAGGAACAAGTATGCACGGGTACATGTATTAACACCTCATTTGATGAAACAAGTTTGAATGACATGTACAATGCACATATGTATGGACACTGATGGTTGCAGGCCAGTAAATACATGTAGGCCCAAAATTGTCTACGCCGGCCAAATCACGATTTGCACGCCCTAATTTTTTTGCTATGAGAGCATTTTGTGGGCCATGACATTGAAGGTTTGTAAAAAACAAACAAGAAACAAGAGGTGGAAGCCATGAACAGGACTGCCAGCTCGTATTGCTGTGTAATTTGGATGAATTAAACCCTAAAATTGCTCTACTTTGCAATGCAGCATAGGCATCAGTTTTAAAAATGGCGATGGGTTTCCGGACTATACTTTTGGGAGTGATCATCTTTGGATGGACATTTCTCACAAAAGTTATCGTATTACCACAACAAAATTGAAAAGAAAATGAAAGATGATGAAATTAGTTTTAATTTGATGTGTCTTAAACACCTTGGAGAGTTAGTTGTGAGTATTTTCCCCTGAATTTTGGAAGTGGGTGTATCTATCACTGGGGTCTATGGCAGTTTATTTAAGTAGTCTGCAACCTGATGGTGTATGTGTACATGTACACGTATGCAAGTCAAAAATTAACCTAACTCTGGTCCAAGGTACAAACTCAAGTGTAGAGTAAACATGTCAGCAAACAAACAAGATAATGAACTGTGCATGACTCAGATCTGGGATCCGCCCCCTCTAAAGGTTACGACTATTCACACTCGTTGCATCGAAGTGGAAAACCTCTCACAATTTCTTTAAAAAAATGTCTTTGGACTTGACTCCTCAATTCCTTCAAGGATAACTGAGATCACACCTGGGAATAAACAGGAATCGAACCAGGGGCCAATAGAAAAGAAAAAAGCAGTAGGATCTGAACCAAAGACTCCTCGATTCCTTCAAGGGAAACTGAGGTCACACCTGGGAATAAACAGGAATCGAACCAGGGGCCAATAGAAAAGAAAAAAAGCAGTAGGATCTGAACCAAAGACTCCTCAATTCCTTCAAGGATAACTGAGGTCACACCTGTGAATAAACAGGAATCGAACCAGGGGCCAATAGAAAAGAAAACAAGCAGTAGGATCTGAACCAAAGACTCCTCAATTCCTTCAAGGATAACTGAGGTCACACCTGGGAATAAACAGGAATCGAACCAGGGGTCAATAGAAAAGAAAACAAGCAGTAGGATCTGAACCAAAGACTCCTCAATTCCTTCAAGGATAACTGAGGTCACACCTGGGAATAAACAGGAATCGAACCAGGGGTCAATAGAAAATAAAACAAGCAGTAGGATCTGAAGCAAAGATTCACCAGATTCAAACCAGACAGACCTAACATGAAGCTTCCAAGACATTAAGTACATGTAGGATCACTAGTCATCAAATCTAGCTGATGCAGTGATTATTTCCAGACAACTTTCATTCTTACATGACTTGAGACGTTTACCGGCATCTTCTTGACTCCTCATCGTCTCTCAGCCAACATTCTCTCAAGATCAATTTTTTCTGCAATGTTGGTTTTTTTTGGTTGGTCAAAGTGATAACTTTAAATAGACTGAAAATTCTTTATCAGTATTTATAGCACAAGATAAAAGAAATTTTAGTACATGTATGTGAAATATGAAAGATTTGAGGAAGAAATATTTTTATAGATTTTTTATTTGATGGTAAAAAAAACCTCGTGAAATTAAACATATGGTGAGATGCATGCGATTGTAATTTAACAGAGTGCAGCATGAACATGTATATATAATGCATGAGCCTATCTAAGGTCCAAAACTCAAGTGTCTGGTAAATATGTACACAGATAAGCAGATGCACAGACTGTACGTGTGTGACGTGCATGTATATATGCAGGCAAACAAAAATCCCAAGCTCTATATATAAACCATGTCACGCGACTTGATGACGATGCTGTGTTTGCCCAGCGCCATTTTTACCAGAACCGCCCCATCAAAAGTCTCAACTGTTTGTGCTCTCTACATCAAATTGGAAAGCTTTGTCTTCAATTGATTTGGTTGAAATTAAAAAAAGGTAAGAAAAGAGTGTCAGTTATTTTAAATGAGGCTAAATGCTAGCTTACCGTTACAAGTGTAGGAATCGCAGTTTGCCTTAAACAACAAATGTGAAGAGTGCATACAGTAGTAATGTTCCAAGAAAACCTATATTTAATATCCATAAATACCTAAGACAGTTTATGCATTCCTATTGGTCGAGAGCCCGTCTTAAACAGCTGGTCTTAAACGGATGATAAAGACATGGCTAGCTGGTCTTAAAAACTTTTCCAGTGTCACAATAAAATGTGGACTCCTAAAAATCCAGTGCCTCTTATCGTTTCATTGGTTGAACGTTGTAGGCATGTGCAACACTACCAAGGAGTCAGAATTTCATAGTTCTAAATTCAAAATGCAAGGCGCCACGTGCGTTCTGCACGACATCACGCAGAACATGATACGCGCGCGTTAATCTCAC